TGGACAAAGTGACACCCAGATCTCCCTTCCATTCTAAAAATGTCTATGATTTATGAGACACCTCTTATAATAATATCACAAAATAATACTAAAGGAATATATTTTCATGTCCGGTATTTGGTGCTCAGTTTTGGAACTGGATATGATTCAGATAGAATAATAAGTGAGTTTAGCTTCTGAGCACATGGATGTACAGTATTACAGTCTTGGGCTCCTTAAACTTGTCATCAAATAGTATGAATAACATTTCAAAGGAAGTACAGCCACAGGTAAATTGAACACAAACACTGCATGAGATACAGGTTTTGTCACCTTTACTCCCTTCTCATCTATTCTTTTGTGTACTTTAGCCAGTATTATTCCGGACAGTGAATATGGAAATAGGCAAGTCTTTAAAAGACAGCATGCTTATAGCTGGTGCCGCATCATCAGATCTCGTGAAACAGATACGTTTTAGAAAAGCTGCTGGTATATTTTCTAGTAGGTGAAACAATTGCAGCACCTTCAGAAATGGTGTCTGTTACACTGGGACTTCAAAAAAATCAAATTCTGTTTTTTTAATTTCTTAAACTATTTTACAGTTCCTGAAAACATTTCTTAGGAAATCCACATGTTGTGCATCTTGCTAGGTTATAACCCACTTAGAAGCTGATTTTAATATAGCTTAGGATAAAAATAAGCAGAAATAGGACACCTGCAGCAGCCATCCCCACCCACTCCCCCATTCACTTTTGAGCAAAATTTGGTAACTATCCATGAGGCCACTTTAAAGGATTCTGTTCTTTTTTGTTGTTGTTGTTTTTACTGCATTCATCATCACTATATGAGCTTTCTGTTTTGTTTCCCTGAGGCTTGGTTTTCCAGAAATGAGTCATGAAAAAGGTATTATTCAGTGGTCAGGAACAAGAAACACTCCATTTTGTGTTCCTTCTATTATTGAACTACAGAAATATTAATTGTAAAAATGAAAAATTGAATTCTTTCTCATTTAAGTTTTTAAAGCTTAATGGACCTTAATTTGATGCCTATTATCAAGAATTGATGAAGTGGTTAAAACATTGTATGTTGAAATGATGTGTTCTTAAAATTCTAATTTCTACAACTTGTCTCTGGTGTAATGATGCTTGGCAGCTGAGTATTCAAATTGAAGTAAGAAGAATAGGAACTATACCAACAGCTGACTGTTACACACAGAAATGACTTGGGATTCCTCCTGAGCAACCTGACAGCCCTTTCAATTCATTCATTTGAAGAGGTTTGGAGATGCTTCTTTGGAGTACAGAAGTAAAAGGCAAAAAACACCAAAACCAACCCTACAACAAACCAACCAAACAATAACACCCCAAACCCCACGAGGTTGCTCTAGAGAAGATAATTCTTTTCTGGGGAACAAGTTTTAGAAAACCTTGTTCTTTTAAAAGGCAAAGTTACTTCTTAGTAACTAAGAAAACTGTAGAGAACTTGCAGCTTCACAGAAAAAGAGAGGCTGTATTACATTTGCATGATACTGTGACTCCAGTGTTTTGTCCTTGCTGTCTTCTGGCAGATTGGTCTGCATAAGTTACCCCTCATCTGCATAACAGGAAGGCTCAAATGAACACTTCAAAGTTCCCATGGGTGTCACATTTACAGCAGGTGGAAGGATGAATGTGTTTGTTTTATAATGTTTGGAACATAATGGTAGGATTGGCCTGAACTCATGAAAATATCTAGAGTAGCTTAAAAAGTACAAAGATGCCAGTGCACAAAGCAGCGCAATAAAACAGACTCAGATCAATAAAATGCATCCAAACTAAGAACCAAAAGCTAAAAATGTGAGAAGGCATTTCTTGTTATTTGTTATTACATTACTTGGTCAAAGGAACATGCATATCCCAGCAGGAAGGCAGCTACAAGAAGTTAATAGTAATTAGCATCTGTATATTTCTATTTCTTAAGAACAGTTATGTATGTAGAAATTATGTGTTGAAATTATACATCAGTGTCACTAAACATCCTTCTTATCTTTCTTTCTTTTTAGCTTTCTAAACCTTCTATATTACACCTGAGCAGGCATTACTCTACGTACACAGCAGGCATTATTCTACTTAAACAACAAGCATACTTTTCATAAATTGCATGGCCATGGAGGGTTGGAATATGTTCTCAAATTCTCATAGAATAAGTTGTCAAATTGTCATCACTTCAATCATACATAGAGAAGAGAAACTACTGGAGAAACTAAAATAGTGAGTTTATCATCTTGAAAAGTTGGGTGTGATGACTGGACCTGAACATTAAGAACCAACACATTCTTACTTGCAATGCAAGAGTACCGTACTAGGTCACAGATTAAAATAAAATCACTTTACTATGCTGCATTCTAAGAAGTGCAGCTAGAATATTACATTCAGGAGACACCGTGTTATTTTGACTCTGTAGCATCAGCCCCTGGTACAATCTGTTGCTCCACATTTTTGGGGAATGAAAGAAAGCAAAATGACAAAATGACCATCACAAAGCAGCTGAATGGCAACATCACCAAAATAAAATTATTGATATAGGATATGAAAGTAATGAACAATATGAAATAATTAATAATAATAATTATACAGTTAATAATAATTAAACAGTTTTCCAGAAATAGTCATTTAACATTGATTTAAGTGTTGCATTTTCTAACAGTAGTTAAGAATAATTTTTTGGAAGCACACGTACTGTTACATGGAATACTTAAGTACTGTGGGTATTTAAAAACTCTTTTTTCAATTATGCATATTCTAAAGCTTTTGCTGAACACCTTTGTCAATACATATGTATGTATTAAGTTCCTGTAAAACGTTCTTCTCCCATCTTAATTACTGAGAATCATTCTGAAATTCTCTCTCTTTTTTTTTTTTTTTAATTTCTTTTTGAAGTCTAATTAGGATTGCATCTGGCATGGAAGATCAGGACATTTGTTCAGAAGCAGGAAGTTAGGTACTTTGCTGTTCCATTACATAATTTTCATTGATTACTTAATTGTCAGAAAACTTCTCCCCCTTCTCCCACCCAATGAGCCAACCAGGCCTGATGCAGAAAGTTTCTCCATGTACACTGACTTCAGTGGAAGCTGATGTTGATTTCTGCCTTTGCTTACAAATCTAAGAAGTATCAAAAATGTTGAAACTGGATTTCAGTGAATGAAAGTGAAGAGTGTTCAGCGTGATAGCAGTTTGCAAGAAAGAATGCAACAGAGTTGTCAAATAAAATAAAGAAGACTTCTTTCATTTCCACTGGAAGCAGAAAACAGCAAGATGAAAGGGGAATGTAAGACCTGAGGTGGAGAGACTAATGACAATCATTTACCAGATGAGCTTTAGCTCCAGTCTGTAAGTCACAAGAGCGTTTTACATCTGAAATCTCCAGTTTCTACAATAACGTACTTGCTGAATGTACTTCCAGTCTAGCTTTGTATCTTTTGCATATGATGTATCAGTTTTTACCTGTTAACTTATTAGATAAATAAGGTCTCATATCTTATTCATTATTTTGTTATTTATTATTTGTATACCATTATTTTATAGTTAAAATTGTAGGGTAAAAATGCATTGCTTAAAGCAGTCAAACTGGAATGAAGTAACTCAATTTACTGGACGTAGACAAACTGGAGCGCATCAAAAATGCTGAGCCTCACCTTCTGAGACATTTAGGGAGCAGAGTTACTGCAGGTATCCTGCAAAGCTTTGGGAAGCTGTGAAAGCCTGAGTGCTGCAGAGATCTAAGACTTCCCATTAAGTCAACAATGTCTGGGACAGAGCTGTGACTACAGCCAAGGAGCGAAGTAGCACACATAGCAGATATTATGTTCAGGATTTTTGTTTATATGTCTCATCAGAAGTCAGAGTGGTTCGTTTTCAGAAAGAGGAGAATACATTTTTTCTACTTTGTCAAATCTCAGACAGATTTACAGGGCAAGCAATAGTTTTAATACACACTTTTGGTGGGACAGACTGCACTATATGGAGGAATAAAAGAAAGGTCTAGTGTGAAACTAAATTTTATGCTACAGTGAGTTACAATGCAGTAAGAAACAGTAAGTTCTGATTTGGCCGGGTAGACTAAGCATACAGGATTTCTTCACTATTCCTCAGCATCTCAGCAGGTAAGCATTAATTATATTTGTTTTGCTGAAGATTTAATTCTGCAAGCTGTTCAGCCCTTTAAAGTGTTATAAATTGACTTGGGAATTCTTAGCACTTGCAATAATTGTAAGTAAATTTATGAAATTAGAAAAATTTAACCCTGTGACAAAACAAAAATTTTTGTTATGCAAAGCTTTTTTGTTTGAAATGGGTATGGATAACTAAAGGAGGAGGTCCATCCATTGCCTCTTTCTGGATCCCAGATTACTGTCATGGCTTGGAAAAAATGCCTTAGTTTTTCCTTTAGCAAATACAAACCTCTAAATTGTGTATTTGGCAAGTGATTGCTTCATGGCTAGACAAAGTTATATTTATCCATAATTAAGGTACATGAAAAAAACTTTTCAAAATGATCCACAACAATATGTTCTAGCATTGGATTTTCATGAGGAATCAGATCTTAAATTAACATTTAGGATAGAAAAAAATAAAACTGTTTCCACTTCATTCTTAATTTGCCTTTCCACGTAAAGATACAATTTTGTTGGGGTTCCCCTGGGAAAATGCTATCTATAAACCTTCCAGGAAAAACTGTTAAGCCTGATCAGGAAAGAAGTCACAAGGGCTGGGAAAATATGACATCTACATTTGGTTTTGTTCTGCAGGCCGTGTACATTTCCTCTAGCACTACAAAACATTACCATATGATATGATTGCATTTTCCAGCAAGTGTTGCCACTAACTTGGACTTGTGGCTTTGTAGTATGATTTAAACATTGCTCAAAAATACAGTATTTCCAGAAACACAAATAAGCCAATGCTTAACTGTCACAAATGTTCTTCATTTCCATATCTGTAATATATAAAGCATTTATTGAAAAGAGTGGGATTGCTTACCTCAAAAATATAATCTTTTCCATCCTTTCCATGCACAGCTTTAACAGCACAGATGTCCAAACCACCAAATATTTCAGAACAGGTGTCAACCCAAAGCTTGTACCTGTTTTATAAAACAATTTTTTTTCTGTAAGTATCTTATTAGGCTCTTGTTTTTCTATAGCCTTAATCTAAATCTGCATTTTATATAAAGTTTGCTTAAAACACAGAATTTTCACTGTTTTTTCAGCTTTATTGAATTTGTATTTCCTAGAATAGCAGCTTAGAGATCCTGGACCCATTACTCTCCTTTTCCAAGTAGAATCCATAAAAACTGTGATTCTCTATCTTGACCTAACATTACACTGGCTGCTGTCCCAGCTCATATTAGCCCAAATATGTGTCTGCTCTAAACTGTGAGTGACCTTGTGATAAGATACGCTGGAACACAAACATTATTTCAGGTATCTCATTCTGCACTTCCACTGCCATTATGCTAGTACAGCTTGCTAGTTGTGACTGTACACTATGTGGGAATCCACAGAGGTGTATCTTACCAGTTTCTGTAGTTTCAGTGGTGCCAGAGAAATTTATAAGGCAGGGAATGGGGCTTCTGTTGCCCTGTGAAATTCAAACTGGCACATCTGTGACAGATGCAAGTGTGACCATCCTCCCGCCTGTCAGTCTTGGTAGCGTACTTAATTACGGATGAGTTTTATCCTTGTATCAGGAAAACTAGGATGAGAGTCTCTGTCTTAAATTACTGACCAAACTGTATTTCAAATTAGCAACTTTTCTATATACTGAACAAGGCAAAAGAAAAATCAAGAAACAGCAGGCCTTAAGACAATTGAAGATGAACAGCCACAGGGCACTATGCAAAAGTTATGCAGCATGCAGACAAACATAACATCTTCATGTAGGGTTACAGACAATTACAGGAAAATTCAAAAGAAATTTAGAAAATTTTGAAGAATGGTTATAACTCTAACAAAAAACATAGTAATTCATACAGTACTGAACTCCTGCACTGCATTTTTATCCTCGTGGTAAGAAATTTGGTCTGATAAATGGAAAATGAACCCATTCTACATGCAGTAATGTGATTTATTTTTCTTGCTTGAGGAGCTTAATTCATTCTATGAATAGAGGAATTATCTGACTAAAAAAGGAATGAAGGGGGACTTACTAGAAAAGGAGTGAGGCAATTCCTGATCAAGTACAGAACAGTCAGTAGCACATATGGGGAGCCATAATACTTTGTTGAGGGTGTTCAGAGGTGATTTAGTTGTGTATGTTTGTTAAATGGCAAGGGTTGACTGGCAGGACACAAAGTAGCATTGAGAACTTTAATTAACTAATAACAGAGCTGTGTCTGGGTATCACCAAGTGATGATATGGTCTTGCAAGTTTATACAGGCAGGTATCACCATTCCACCAATTGAAGAACAGAACAAAAAAAACAAAACAAACAAACAAAAAAGCAGTTTTAAAACAGTCTTATCATAGACTTTTTTTTTTCATTGGCGAGTATGAAGAAGGGCTGTTTCCTTTTATAGACCCTCCCCTGATCCAGCCTTTAAGCCATGATGATAAATATGCCACATCATATTATTTTCCATTGGGAAAAAAAAAAAAAAAAAAGATGTTATAAACACAGCATTTGACTTCATTGTAGGATGAAAAGAAACTCATTGCTGGGCTGTGAGTCTTAGTCATAAAAATATCCTTAGTAATGATCCCCTTTCCAAGTACACTTATTAGATCACACTCTCCATATTTTCTGTTCTCATGGGAAAAAAAAATCTTTTAAGCGGAATAAAAAGAAATCAATACAACTGTTTGAAAAAAATCCTGGTGGTAATATTTGAGCAAAGATTTTTTTTCCTGTGAGAAAAATTTTTTGTCCAAAATGAGAAGTTTTTTTGGAGTCCTGACAATTTCAGCATCTGTAGATGCACTGATTGGCTGGACTGCTTGCACACATTTGCTTATAAACAACCTTTGTTTCTGCTCTAAAATATCACCACATATCTTAGCAAGCCAGGAGGACAGTAAAATTTGCCTTTAATAGCAAATAATTGAAGTTTCTATGAAAAAAAAGGAAGATGTTTTCTTTAAGAAACTGAAAAATTAATCAGATTTAAATAGGAACATGTTCAGTAGTCAATCTCCTTCCAACAAACACAGCTGGAGAAACTGCATTTGGAAAGAGGCCTTGAGTAGACTACCCTGGAGTTTTAAACGCAAGGCTTGCACAGCAGGTTTGACCAGAGGCCGTGGTCCTTATCTTCTCAGAATCAATGTAGCATGCAGTGTCCTCTGAACTGGCAGATGACAAAGTACTTGTGAGGTGAGCACAACTACAGTAAGTCTGTATTCTTCTGGCCCAACTGGGGAGCAGTTCCTCTCTGAAATGAAGGGTTCAGTAAGAATATATAACACTGAAATTTGCTCGTTCTCTGCCTCATCATCATCCCCTACTGCTCCACATTCCTCTTCACTAAATTTCTAGACTAACATTTGTGTTCAGTCAGCAATGTTGACTCAGGCAGCGCTTTCAAAATACTTCTTTCTAAATCATGAGATGCATTATAAATGCCTTGAAGTGCACATGCATCAGATTTGATTGCTTTTGGTGTGCCTCTAAAGTACTTCAGCTCTTCAGAAAACTTCAATTTGCTTTTACTTCCTTTTTTTGCTTTGTATGTAATCAGACTAAAATTATGGCATAGCCTCGCTGTTACGAGAACATATCCCTCTTTTCTATGCTTTTGTCTTCATCAGCATAAAAGTTCTGGTTTGTTGCTAGTGTTTTTTAAAGTGAATATACAGATATGATTTAATTATGTTACATTCAAATGTGGAAGCAGAACCAAAGCAGCACAGAGCATTTACAGTGAAGTGGCTGTGCATTTTGTACTCACTGCCCATACTTGATACTATTTAGTTTTCCTTATGGCCAAATTAAAGTGTGGTTTTTTCACAGAGAAGTAGTTCTTGGACTGTAATTACACAGAGTAAAGCACACTCTTTCTCTCTTAGTGAAGGCATAACCTCACAGTCTAAAGCAAAGTGGGAGGGGAATGAGAATGAGAAAATAATGTGGCTCCACTCCATCCCCAGAGGGGACATCAGTGAGGACGCAGTCTAGACTGGGGTTGGACAGCAGGGAGTTGTAATTCCCGTCTTATTTGTTTTCACCTTTCTTAGGGCAGGCAATGGTTCAGTTCCGTTTCTCTCAGCTACGAGTAATTGTAGGGCCAGATTTAAAAAAAAACAACTACAAAAAACCGACACAAAACCAACCAACCAAACAACAGAAAAAGGCTGTTGTTGAACTGTGAAGCACCATTTAGATTACACTTCTACTGCACAGAGTTTTCAACATTTGTACATGTATTGACTGACTGGAGTAAATTTAGGGAAAATAAAGCTGTAATGTGAAAGAGAAACCTTTGTAGAAGGTGAACAAAATAAAATTCATAGCCATAAAAAGCACTACAGCTTTTCTCTGCATGTAAAAGAGGCCTATATTTTGTGATTGGAGAAAATGAGCAGCATTGAGCAGTAGCAGAGTGAGGCTTCAAAATATACTGCAGACTGATGTACTGAATTGCTAAGAGATAATCAGAGCAAGGATGGGAGAGAAAAGCACAATAAAACAAAGTACAGAGCAGGAATGATGACATGAGGAGAAAAAAGCTTTGTTATATTTCAGCATCTGGGCAGAAAGACTCACAGTGCAGTTGACCAGAAGATTCAATAATGACAAATAAGCAATTTAGTGGAAAAGAGAAATACAATTTAAATAGGCAAAGTTAAGAAAAAAACACTTTGTTGCATTACGTGACATAGGAGAAAAAGTTTAAACACTGTGACATGGAGTAAAGTAAAAGAGATCAAATGAACCAGAGGAAATGACTGGTAGGTTGAACCTGAAAATGGCATACTGTGAAGGGAATTCCAGTAGCTTTCTAGGTGCAGATATATATTTAGGAGCTCAAGGGTGCCTGCAAACATGTAAGCCTGATAGTTAGCTTGATTATTTAGCTGAGACAACTCATAGGGAAACACTTCTCTCATGTTTTTTCATCTAGTTCCAAGTTTGTTTTTTTTTCCAAAATGAACAGAGGGCCTTCATTTACTGTAAACTGCACACTAATGTGATTTAAAAAAAAAAAGACTTAAAATTCTTTTGTTTTTTTGAATACCTTTTACATGAGACTTCACTTACTTATCTGACATAGCAATTTGTTCCAACATTGCAGAGCCTGTGTTTGTCTTCCAGTTTCCAGATATGGAAGTCCTCCTGAAAGGGGAAAAACATTCAAAAAGAGCCTCTAGTTTTATATTTGTCCTACCTCCTAAATTATTCTGATTTTCACATGGATACTAAGGCAGCATCAACATATTTGTTTGTATTTGGCAGCTTACAATATAGTATCTAAAACATGATGAATTTTAACAGGTTTCACAATGTTATGATGCATGACAATGAAATTTTTGTTCCCCATTAGTTCGCTTAAGAGAAATTTTAAAACTACTACGATTAAGTGCAAGTGTTAACAGTAAGATTTTATCGGTTAGAAATTGATTGAATAACCTGTAACATACCAATAATACAAATGGCAAGGAACTGAAGCTTCAGCTTCTCATTTCAGATCCATACCACTGCACATTTAGGTCCCAATACTTGAAAGTCAAGATGTCCATTCTGAACATCTCCGATCTGTTACAGAGCTTGATTTTGGTTTCTCCTCCAGTTTTCACTCCTTGCTAGTTTGTGCATATAATCTAAACATCTTATTTCAAGCATACCATTTTTTATTTTATCAGTAAGAAATAAAAAATATATATTTTTCTCCTCCTCGGACACCAGGTTGGTTAGCAGGTGTGAGAAGATTACTCTTTTCTGAAACCTAAACAATGTTTTGAGAATAGGCTTAGAATACAAATCATGAAGTATTTCTACTTAGAAGTGTAATAGGAGTATCTGTAATACATTAGAAGTTTACTAGGCAGCAGCAATAGTTGTCTCTCAATTTTTATTGATCTAATTACAAGGGTCAGCAGCAAATGTGGGGGAGCGCCAACCTTTCCGTGGAAGTCTCATAAAATTAACTGAATTTTAAAGCATACAGTTCTAACATGCCTTATTTTTTTTTGCTATGAGAGAATAACGAAAAGGGAAGATCCACATTCAGTGCTGTGTGTAAGGTAACTTCTATCAGTAATAAGGCTTTAAGTGATATTTATATGTGTGTGTGTACTTACAGAACAGTTAAGATGTTTAAGTTCACTATTACTCCACATACAGTCTACAGATTTTACTTCTTAGATATCATGACTGAACTCTGTTGCAGACTTCTCAAAAGGCATTCCTTAGCACGTACAACTTAAGGTGTCTTTTAGGAAGCAAAATTTAGAAAAAAAATCCTGAAGATTTCTAGCAAGAAGTTAGTTGGTGATGCTCAGCTGCACTGAGGTAATCTTAGCACTGTTAAGTAGAGAAGATCATAGAATCAGAGAATAGTTTGGGTTGGAAGGGACCTTTAAGGTCATGTAGTTCCAACCGAGTGCTCCAGGCAGGGACACCTCCTTCCAAACCAGGTTGCTCACAGCCCCATCCACATCAATTCCTCCTTTTTCACTGAATTCCAAATAATAAAGGAACCAACTCCAAATATAATTGAATGCTTTGGACTTAGGACTTGCATGCTTTTGCTTGATTTGGTGTTTGTAAACATGAAGAAAAACTGTTTTAAAGTTGGGGAAAAGAGGAGTTACGATTGCTATGTATCATGACTTGACCTTTCTCTTTTCCAGCAGCTCTCTGCTTTGTTTAGTACTATCTGAAGCATGCATTCCAAATTGTCTGGACAAGTATTGTCACAAAATAAGTAGAAAGATCTACCAACAATTCTTGTGTAGGTAGTCTATTTAGCAGCTTGTTACTACAGCATTGTTGTTCTTCAGCTGCTATGCTCTACTTTTTTTTATTGAAGTTATGGCCAAAGTACATTGTTGTGCATTCAGTTTATTACATTTGGAAAAGAGATTTCAAGGTAGTATTTTTGTATTTGTGCTTTTCTTCGTTCTATTTGAGCCTTTAAACTCTATTTCCTTGAAGTCAGATGAATTCTGTAATGGTACCAGGTGCTGTTAAGCATGCATCACAAAATGTTTTGAGGAGCTGTGGTATTTAGAGAGATCCAGTGTGGCATTTTGGCTATAATCTCTGCTGACAGATGATAAGCACCAGTGTTTTGTGAGTCACGGATCCACTTATACCACAATTTCCCACAGAATTGTAAAAATGAAACTCTTCATAACTCTTAAACTAGAAAAACAATTGTTTGGCTTGTATTTTTTGTGGTTGCTCTCTAAGTACTCTGTTCCTGTGTGAGAGAACAAAATGAGAACCAGCTGTAAAACAATATACTACTGACATAATGCATATGTATGCATATGAAGAATTTTATAGACATTTGGTAAATCTCCTTTCACAACGCTTTGTAAAAATGAATCAATATTTCATTTCTTGTGATTTAACCATATGAAAGAAAGTAGAGAAAAAATGATGGCCAGGCTTTTAGCATCTGGATGAACCCACAGTTTCTGAAGGAACAGAAGCATAAAAATAAATAAAGTTAGCAGAAACAGGCTGCCATTTTAATTGTTTTTTCTTTTTTCTTTTCTTCTCTGATCCTTAGACCAACTGCTTCTTTTGTGAAGAAGAAACACTCTTGTTAAAAAATTATGAATTTGCCATGGCTGAATAATACAGTAAGTATTACAGAGACTAAACAGAATTTCAATTTAAGGAAAAAAAAATAGAACTCTTTCCTATTACACGCAGTAGTTCAGGTTCTCCCACAAAGAATGAACTGTCAAATTATTGACACTGCATCTGATTACTGCTACCCAGAGGTGTGTCCCAACCATTAATGGCTGGGCTTTACTGCTAAGACCGGGCCACTTGGGAACTGTAAGACAAAGATAAATCAGCTCTGTGTATTATAAACAACAGAAGAAGTGAAAGATATGTAGTAGAGTACAAGAAATTTGTGCATCAAAGCACCCTTGAGAGAGAAAAGCACTGTCCTAGCCTTGAAGAGGCTGAAATGGCTGCATGAAAAGGTCCGAGACAGAGAAAGAAGTCTGAGGTAAAGAAAGAAGTCTGAATGGTGACTGGAAGTGGAGGGAGAGCATGGCAGTTAATTGGCACTGTTAGTGTAAAAGGGGCAGTGGAGAACCCAAAGCAAGGAACAATGAAGATTAGGGCATAAGAAGTAAGGACTAAGATACAGAAAGGTAGAAGTGGTCTGGGAAGGAGGTGGTACCAGATCAAGGTATGGTTTGGACTCGATCAGAAGTATTTGGTTTTTATTTTATACAAAAAGGAAAGGATGTGTATTGAGGCAGGACCAACACATTTGAAATTCTGTAGGGACCTTGAGTTCTAGAGATTCTGGACTGCATCACTATTAAAAAAGGGATTTTGGGTCAAGGATTCCAGAAACCACACCATCCTTGCAGTATATTTGAGTGCTTTGGTCACTGTGTACAATTCAAATTTCCAACATTGTTTTTGCAAAATTTAGAAAGTTTTAGGTTCAAAACAAAGCGGAATTGAGTGTCTGTACTGCTGGATGGATCTGACCTACAGGCACACTGTCCTCCCTGTTCTGTGTAGTCTTTTCTTCCACTCAGATGTACATCAAGAGACAGATGCACCATTAAGTTATTCTTGAGAGACTTAATCTTAGATGTTCTTTTACAAATGCCTCTCCAACTTTTATGCCTGGAGAGGCAAGCAGTTGCTCAGAGTTTTGATCTTGTGACAGCAGTGTCATAGGGGAGGAGTCACAGTACATGGCTCTCCAAAATCAACCTAAGGGAATGTGTTTCACCCTTCGTCCCCATCCTGGACAGGAGATTCTACATTTCTAATAGGGCTTGTTGCTTGTTTCTAAATTACTTGAGACCTAATGCTAATTCTGTCTTTAATATTAAAAAATATTTCATGCATTTTCTTTAGCCTAACTACAACTTTTGTTTATATTTATGGGTTGCTTGAAATTCAGTTATTTTTACTGATAAAGAACTTGCATGTATCTTGGTTTTCAATTAAAATGTCAACATATAAGAAATCTCTTATCCCTCCAACATTGCAAGATCCCTAGTGATGTATGATTATGCATACACGTGTGCTTTTATGCATGTATGTTTTTACCCAGGTATTTTTTTCCTGCCTCAGAATTGTAAGCATGAGGGAACAAATGCATGAGATGAATTAACTTATCTGAAAAACATGGACGAAATGACTGAATGTCAAATTACACTGATAACTGATAGTTGAAATAGAGTAAAATTATGCATAAAGACAGTCACCGTAGATCAATTAATACCTCATAATCTGTTTCGCTGCTCTAAAACTGAAACAACATTTTAGCCTCTCATACAGTCATGATCTCTAAATATATCTCTATAAAACTAGAAAATATTTTTACCCATTTTTATATAGGTCATTGTAAGATAAGAATTTTTCTTATTTCATGTTAAAAGGAGAGTACTGCCTCCCATTACAGTTTTATCATTCAAATTGGTGTGAATGAATGCCATCCAAATATAGATGAAATGGAAAAATAATTAAAAGTTGTCAGGAACGCTACTCAGGCAGGCTCACCTGTTATGTCACTCTCCTCCTCCCAATGACAATCAACTTAAAGAAAAAGACGTTGATAAATCCATAAAGCCTGACACACTGTCTTTCTGAAGCGTATGGCAATGAAGGCATGGAGTCACCACATTTCTACTCACAGACTCATCCAACAGTCTTAAACTTACTGGCGCTTATCGATTTTCAAACAAATGATGAAAAGATAAGTTTTTGGCTCACATGTATGCTTTGTAGTTACTGCCTATCTTTTGGATCCTGATGTCATATTTGGAGTCTATGAACGGTTCAGTAGTGGCGTAGGTCTGAGTAAGTGCTACCACGCTGGCTATGTCCTGAAAATCGTAGTGGTTGTCTACCTTGATCTGTAGTCATCATGCCACAAGTAAACGGCAAATGCAAAAGAAGAAACAGCAATTAGAAATAAAATGTAGACTTCAGTTTCAAATGGCATTAATGAGAAATATGGCTTTTGATAGCATCAGTTTATAGCGGGCATTTCATATTTTATCTGATTTCTAGACTCTCTAACAGTCCCACATTAACATATCTAATTTTCCATGGAAAGTATTACCTGCTCATCCATAGGAAGCAACTTGCAGATAGTAGATTTTTATTTTCAATATTTTTTTTTATAGTTTTGATTGATAATTTTCAGGTCAGTAGTTTTTAGGAGAATGTTTGAAGTTGTGGTTACACTAATTTTATACAATTGTTCATGATTTTCTAAACTGCTCGTGTAACTGCATGTCTGTGGCGCCCACCACGCACTATCACTTCTGTGTCATGTATCTCCCAGGAAGGAGGACATGAATGCTCATGACATTCTGACGAGGGCCAGTTCACATGGAACACAGAAGGTTGGCTCAAGATGATGGAATACTTTTCCCATTTGTCCTACTTCTTTGCAAGGAGTCAGGCATTCTAGGAATAGAATTTCCTAGACATAAAAACACTGAGATAAATGTGAGCAATATTGATTTAGAGGGAGAGTGAGAAACATACTTCAGATGGGAGACGAAAGTATTACTTTTTGACAGGGAGATCTTATCTCTACAGTTGAGTTCAAAGGAAGCTAGCTGAAGTAGGGAAAAAACATGAATCTGAAGAGAAGTCTTAGGGCTGGGAGAAAATAGGAGAGGGAAACTGGAATGCCAATAATTCTTTACCCAAAGTGCATTTCAGGAAGGTGAGGAAAGGGTGCAGGGATCATACTATCTAATATTAGAAGAGTTTGCAACTTCTTGCAAGCCCAGCATCTCTTGTTTCCACTTTAAAGAGGACCTGTAGCCTGGAGTGCCCACAGCTGTGAGATAGGAATTGCATATTATTGAATGGTGTCCAGTGAAGTGAGGAGTCAGGCCAAATACTGAGGCCAAAAGTCCCAAGTATTTGCTCTCAACTCTTGGATTCAGAATGATACAGAATTATTTGTTATTTGAGAACCAGTAAAAGAGATACAATTCCTGGTCTCAACTCTGTTTCTGAAAATTGAATACTGTGAGTGAATCTAATTACAAGTGGAAACACTACTCCTAGCATTGCCTTTTGGGAGAACTGGGATACAAGAGGAACCTTTACTTGGGCTCTGATAGTAAGCATTTCACTACAAAAGACTGGCACTCAGTCTTTAAGGACTTAAAATACTTTATAGCTAAAAATAATAATAATAACCTAGATTTTTATTTGTAGACATTTGATATGCTGGATATTTTTGTCCAACAGATCTATTTTCTGTAAGTGAGAAGTGAATACTGAAAGTGCGATATAAACATAATATTTCATGTATGCAATCCACAGAAACTGCAGTTTAAGCAATTAGTAATTAAGTTAATTCTGTGCCCAGTTAATTTGGCTGCCAGATTTCTTCTGACTTACTAAGTAAAAAATAAAGCAAAACAGTTGTAGGCAAAAAATCATAGCATACAGTTCAAATTGCACAACTGTTGAATGAATACAAATAAATCAGCTTTCTACTTCTATTTCTTGTGGCAAATGTGTTCATAGAGCTTTTGGAGGTTCAAGATGATAAATGAAACTATTCTCTGATGATTTATTTTAAAATATAAAACACAGTATTTAAGTGTTTTCTATGAGAGAAACGTAATCTGTAATGACTACAAATGCTCATTGACATCAATGAAAGTGCAATTTACATCACATCACTTGAACCATCACTGTGAGAGAAGTGGTATCAAAACAGCAGTACTCACCACTGAAATGCAATTACTTTGGAGAAAGAAAGCAGCAGTTATATAGCAGTATGAAACAATTACAGAGAATACATTAAGACAGGAAATGAGAAAACAATCTGGATCAGGCTGCAACTAGTAGAGAACCAAGGCAAAACCGCCCTAGAATCCCAGGTCCAAAAAGTTATTTGTGCAAACAGACATTGACTCTTAAATAGTTTCACCACAATCAACTAAATTAACTAACAAGATTCTGCTTCAGGAAAGCATCTCATGTTTTAAAAAGTGTCCCGAATAGGGCAACACATAAACTACCTGAGAAGGTGTCAATATGAAAATATTAATATATGTAGTTTTTTTTCTAAAGAGAGGTGCTTTCTTGAATAATAGACAAGCAGAGATTTGCAAGGGTGAGGATCAAAGACAGCATTTGGACAGCAGAAAGTTAAAAAATCCAGGAAACAAAAGAACATGCATCTTATTTTAGACGAACACCCAGCCTCCTAACATGCAGTAAGTAGCATCTGCACCTTTCCCATGCCTGAATGAGCATGTCCAATCTTCACAACAACAGGAAAAGTCGGCATTGTTAGCTGAGAGGGAGAACAGAAAGGAGACGTTAGAGAAGTCAGCTGTGAGTTAAACGATTAAGCTGCATCATTGATGAAAATGATTTTAACGGCCATAATGAGGGAAAATCTGCTTTTGGCATGTGGTTATTTGAATAGACATCCACAGACTGTTCTCATATTCCAGTCAACTGCAACTGTTAGTTCATACTGAATTGGGATGTATCAAATATTGCTCTGTTTACATCATCTCAGCTGATCACAAAGTCACAAGTGGTATTGCTTATTTTCGGTTCTATTTCAACAAAACGAATCTACTGGAAAAAGTTTGAGGGGCAGTTTGAGGAAGAAGCCCTGTGAAGCAGTGATATACTAATAACGGATTTTTACAGTTAGCTCAGGATTCAGAGGAAAATCTTAGTCGTGAAAAATCGTAACAGTACTTGCTACTCTTTAGAGAGCTCTCAATCTGGACAAGCGCTGAACAGTTCAGACTTCACTGTCAACTATTCTTCTGTTTCTTGGCAGTTTTAAGATGGAGGGTTACTTGCAGCAAAGCCATTCCTCCGTGTTGGATACATGACATGTTATACTTACAGTGCAAGTCTTTAAAGACTTCTTGCCCAGATTTTAGCACTCTGATTCTAGTGGGAATTTTTATTCTGCTCCAGTTTATACAGAAGGAAAAGAAAAAAGACCATCCAGCCAAGGCTGACAGTAAAGCTAAAGAAGATATGCTTAGTATTTCACTGACATTTCTGGTGCGCCTATCATGGATAGCTGGAACTTTTGACACCCATCGCTGCATCACACTTGTAATTTCTTACATTAAGCATGGAAGCTTTTCTGTAGGCACAGCAGATGGCTGGCACTGCCTGACTTTCCAGTCCCCAGTCAGTTCAGTGCTGCACAACAAGACATGCCACTGGAATCAGTCTTACCTATTCCTTCCCCCTCCCTCATATTTCCTAAAGAAAAGTATATGGCTGTTTTAGAAAGAAAATGCATAATGGGCTTGTTTGCTTTCTTATATGCCTCTCCACTCCCTCCAAAATAGTATTGGTCCTGATAACAGAAAGCAGTCACAAACTGAAGGCTCTGCAAGAGAGGCTTGGGATTTCTCTTGTAATGCTGAACATCCTTTCCTGAGAAAGAATTTATAAATTCACTGGGGAAGTACTCGTAAGAGAATATAGACATAAGAGAAGATTATTTCCTAGTAATTCTTCTTGGAAAAATTATTTTTATCACTACATGACGCAGTTGCAGGTGAGATTTCAATTTGTAAGCATGAACAGAGAAAACTTCATGTATAATAAAGTAACAGACCAGAACTCCCCAAGTAATTCATCCAATAAAATACTTGTGCTCACATGCTGTGTTCTTCCAAGACTTATCATACTAAAAAACTTGTATTTATCTCTTGGGTGTTGTATGAAACAGGACAAAAGTAGCAAAGAAGAATTTACCTCAGAGAAAAATCAGAATAGGTAGAATAGTACTCTATGTAATCAGCAGCTTTTTACATGTGACAGTATTTACACAGTGTCAGTTCAGTGTTCTCAGCTATGCTGAAATGTGGAATGCAGGGTGTAACCAAGCTGTACATCCAAGTAGACTTTGGGACACCATCACATTGTTTTACTACTGTGTACAGAGATGCAAGAAGCATTTTGGAAGCTGGTCTTTGAATGCAAACTACATGTAGATGTTTTCCATTCTTGCTTTTGCTTTTTCCAGAGCTGTCAGTTACTGACAATTACATAAATTTTCAATTGGCTTCAGAAAGCCAAAAGCACTTGTAAAAGTTTTATACAGTAAGGGCTGGACATACTGCAATTTCAAATTAAATTTCTTTGTAAACTGTAGGCATGCAAAGGCCCATGTAGTCAATCAGCATCTAGTTATTTACTGCTCCCACATTTTGAAAATAGCTATTTTGTATTTCTTTTTTAAATTTTGAAGAGGGAGGGAACAAATCATTGCCTGAATTCAGAAGGGCAGCAGCACATTCTTATGAGTGAACTATAAACCACGGACACAGGGTTTGTAATGGAAATGCTGGCAGACATCTAAGTATAGCAGTACAAATGGCACTCCTGTAATTACGAAGACCATGCATTTTCCTGTGATTCCATAGCTGTGGAATCCTCTGAGGACCATAGGAACAAACACTAATTCAAGACAAAACCAAAAACAAAAAAAAACAAAAAAACCCAAAGCCAACTGTGCTTTCTCCCAGAGAAAATTGTGAAAATGTGCTAACATCATTTAAGGAATGACAATCCATTTCGCTCTGGAGGCCAGCACCAAGATTTCTGTGGTATACCACATCCCAGTTTAGACAAAGTGAAGAGGTTTTTGCAGCAGAAAAAGGCGCTGAGTATTGCATTTCAGATATCATACAGACAAAAACCAGGTAGCTTATATAAAGGGCAGTGAAATTAAGTCTTTCCAGTGCTTTTCTTCTATCACTTTGACAGGCCTGTGAACCTAGGGCTGATGAAGCTGCAGTTAATTTGCTTTTCTAGCAGTGTTTTCTTTAGTCCTGGCATTGCTTTAATTATCACAGTTCTCCCATTGAATAAGGAGACTGAGCCATCATGCAGTCACCTTGCTAAAACTATCTAGATTCCAGGATTGTGTGATATTGTACTATCAAGCAATAACTTGATCTGAGTCCTTTCCTCACCTCTTTCCAGTCTGTTCTTTCCTGTTACTTTGTCTTAACAGGCAGCCTCAAGACTTTTCATATATTTGGATAAACATTGTGTATGATACAGCTGTGTTACTGAACTGAAAGTGTACCAGCTCCATGGATTTCCTTCAAATTCCCATTACAGCTACTTGGTAGTAAGTTATCTTGTGAGAAGCTCTGGCAGGTGTGCAAGGATCAGTTTTGAGTTGAACTGATACTAATACAAATCATTGCACGGATAATTTCAAATTTTTTTGGGGGGGAGGGCTGTTTGACAAAAGTATTGCTTATTTTTCAAAGGTTTTCTTAAATTTAGAATAGTGTAATTTCTACTATGACAAAAATAGAGGTAACAAATCAGAATAAAAAATCTGAAGATCGACAACAGAAATTGCATTGATGAATTTGACATGTTCTTATATATGAGAGATGGACTATACTGCATGAACCCTTCCATACTGCATAATAAATACAGGAAATCCATTTATTTTTTAGGATAAATGGGAGTTCTATTATAAATTAAATAATGATATCATACACAATAATATGTTATTGTGAATTAATGAAAAAAAAAACCACATGACAAACATGCAATACAATTTTCCAAAGCTCCTTCAACATCTCTCATGGTCATAGACTCTACATGTTTTACTGGAATTACTAGTATTAGTTCGGAAAAAACAAAGACATTATCACAGAATCATAGAATGATTTGGTTTGGAAGGGACCTTTTAGTCCACATAGTTTCAACTCCCCTGCTATAGGCAGGGACACCTCCCTCCAGACCAGGTTGCTCACAGCCCTGTCCAGCCTGGCCTTGAATGCTTCCAGGGAAGGGGCATCCACAGCCTCACTTGTGTCTCAACCTGTCTCGCAACCTCTTTGTGTCTCACCACCCTCACAATAAAGAATTGCTTTCTGATATCTACTCTAAGTCTACCCTCTTCCAGTTTAAAACCATTTCCCCTCATCCTGTCACTACATGCCCTGATAAAAAGTTTCTCCCCAGTTAATTACATAGATACACTGACTATATTAATTTTCCCTAATACAGACAGGGGATATCAAAATATATCTGTCAAAATACAGATATCAAAATAATTTCAATTGAAATAAACTATCTAGATTCATAATAGATAGATCTCTAGCAGAATTGCACTGACAGAATTACCAAATTCAGGGAGAAATTGAACCCAATATTCTCAGATTGCTAAAGAAACACTAATTAAGGCAAGCATTCATTCACAACAAATAGAGCACAGAGCATGTTTCTCAAGTGTCTCAGGATCACATCATGACATTGCTTGGATTAACCAGCTTGAGATCACAAAGCACTTTGAGATGGCTGATGCTGTGGATTTTCACTCTTCCACTGCTGTAAGTTATTACATCAAACACGCCTTTTCTTCGTTTGCAGGATGGCTAGCAAACTGGCTTCAAAAACAAATTAGGTTAAAAGATTCATTAGTTACTGATCAGAACCTATTTTAAGCTCTGAAAATCTATGAAATATCATAATGCTCTTCTGAAACGTCAATTTCTGATATGCTACATATATTATCTTTGTAAAAGATTTAGGATTGGGAGGTTTAAAGAACAATGCAAAAGAGATTCTTGCAATTCTTACCATAGGTGCTATATCAGCTCCAAGCAGTTAATTAACAGAATTATAAAGCTCACGAACTGATCTGATTAATGTTGTGTTGGTGAAGAACTGCGACATTTTTACACTCTCATGCTACATGTATATTCACTGCATTTTGAGTAAGGAAAAAAAAGTCATTGTGCTCCTTACTAAGTCCTCAGTCATTCTCTTCCTCTTGAATTCATCATTGTGATTTCTTTCAAACTGAATTTTTGCCCTCTGATTGCAGTTACAGGGCAGCAGCAGGAGAAAAAAAGTCTTGAACTTATCAACAAGAGTCATGTCCTTCCAGTGAACCTGACAAAATAAACTCAACTGGTGTTTTAAAAGGAAACAAAGCTTACACTGTAACTAGAGGCAGCCACAGCACTATTATTAGCCTGATGAGTGTACCTTCGCTTTTTAGGATGTGTGCAGTGATCAGAGATTTGACATCCCTCTCTAACAATTTGTTTTTGCTTTGTGAATAAAACCCTAAAGCTCTCAGTCAAAAATCTTTTTTTTTTTTTTTTTTTAAGTCCCCTCAGTGGAATTTAAGCTGGTTGCTAAAGGTGACACAGTTTAAACATAATAAAATTGGAACTGTCTAATAAAAACTGGCTTGGAAATTATGGAACTGTATACATACACCATACATAATGGGGATAATAACTATCCTTCCCTACTTCAGAAATATTCTGAAGCTTTATCAGAGTGGTTTGCTGCAGTGTAAGTCTATTGATTTAACACAAATTCATAAAAGTTGAGCTTCAAACACTAAAATGCTGAATGGTTTGTAAGTTCTTCACTTCTAAACAATGCCCGGTTATGTACTACAAATATTTTATTTCTAAGAGATACGATTGGAATTTTGTCAATTTACTTTTAATTATGTTAAGACCTAATACAAAATATACCCAATGATGCATATAAAAATAAACCAGGCAAAAGCCCTCTGCTGGAAACAGCGCAGAAAAGAGATTTTGGAGGCAGTATTCACTCTGTGTTTAATTTCCTTATGGTTACGTTGGCTAGAAAAGCCACAATAGAAGAAAAAAAAAAAAGGAAAAAAACAGCACAAAAAATATATACTTCATAAACATGACTTACCTTGTTTAAATATTTGTCTTTCCAATCATCCCTAAGCAAAGTTCATTTAGCCACTCTACTTCCATGTGATTTATTTATGGAACATGCATCAGACTAAATCTAATTTTGCTCTGCTTTCCTTTGGAGAAAGGAAATTAAAAATGAAATAAAGAAGGTGTCCTTTCATTCTTTTTTTTTTTCTTTCTCAGAAACAGGCAGGAAGGCTCCTAAATCAATAAACAAGTAGTACTTTCTGTAGTCTATTTGGTTTAAGGAAAACAAACCTAAGTTAGGGTTCGAACGTGCAGAAGTTCCCTGTCACCAGCAGGGGTAGCTCAATATATTCCTCTCATCACTAAGAGCTGCAGAAACACCACACTTCAGCAGCTACTGTTTGTCAACAGAGAACAATTCAGAGATGCTAAGACAGATTTTCTACTGTGTTGTACCTTTCTAGAAAAAAAATAGGTGCAAAACCTGTAGAGAGTAACATCCTGTATTCCCTTTACACAAGTAGCAATACAAAGCATATTGGATTCTCCCTTGCCTGAACTTCTCAGAAACATGTACGTTAAAGAAAAGTAAAAGCTCAAGTGAATGAAAAGAGTTGGGATTTGAGTGCAAATTAGAGTACAAAGTCATCAAAAAGAGCCAAATGCAGATTAATTCTGATTTATTTATTCAAAACAGAGGGTTAAGATAGCTAATAAACTAGATGAGTGCAATAGAAATATGTTCCTGTGAAATGCTGGGCTACCCAACTTCCCACCCACAGGGAGCTGATGCAAAACTGGGTCTTCTGAGTGCTCTTGTACACTGTTCCTTCCATTGCCATTAACATCACTTCATAAGACTGGATCTTATGAAGCCAGTGCTCTTTGTATCACTGAAATCAAGGCACACTTCAGCATTGCCTTATAGAACAGGACAGTGCCAAGTAAATCTGCACCAGGCAATCAGGCTAAACTAACTTTATCTGCATGTATGCAGTTCAATTAAAAAAAAAGTTATCTAAGTCAATACACCAGTGATGTGACAGTAGGAAAATCTCACGCTTTTAATGTCAGTACTGCATGAAAACAGAATTACTTAAGAGCAAGAAAAGGTAAGTCTAACAGCAATGAATCAAAAAGAGCAGTTCTCACAGGTTTCTCATAGAAATCCTAGAGAAGACAAAATCCTGGCACAGATTTATTATATTTTGATTCTGGAATGTCAGTACTTCATTCCATTCCAATCATTCTAACAACTATTTTGTAGCTGCTGCTTCTAAAACTATACCATTCCACAACTTTATAATAAAATGATCCAAATTGTTGTGAATGTAGAATGAATGTATGTTTTTTCTATAGTATTTAGGAAGTGACAGCTATAAGTACCGTGCCTTTTTAAGTGGGCTGTAGTACATGTGTAGGCACTACGGTTTAAAATCCATGAAAACTCATCTATTTTGTGAGATACTATTCCAATTTGCATTTTTTAAATATAATTAGACAGTTTTTGTATGGGATATGTATTGTGGTTATACAAGGCAGTTTTTAGGGAAAATAAATGCAATGCCAAATGAAAACTAGGAAGAAAACACCTAGCAAATCATCAGAAAGACAACAGATTAACTATGATTGTGGAGAATCCTGCCTACAATCATTCTAAAGTAAGATTCATTTCCCACAATAGAGAGAGAATAGGATAGATATAGGTAAAAAACTTTATTCTGTACACAGTCAGGAACTGAGGTGCAGAGCAGGCGGTCCAATCGCACACATCGTGCAGATTCAAACTGCTTACAGCTGGAACAGGCAGCAAGCTCTCTGTTGGATACTCCTTTATAACTTAAGAGTGAAAAAGCTGCTTGGACAGTCCCTAAGCAACACAGTTCAGAGCAACCTGACATAACTCAAATATCAAAATCAGGTCTGCCCACAGAATTGCTCTTGAGCAATCTCCTGGAAACAATAAACTGACCTCACAATGCTGCATCATATGAAAAATTAAGTATAGAGGGCAGGTAGTTAAGAGATGCATTCCCAGGGAAGAAATGAGACCATCATAAAAGCAATGAGTTTGTTCTGGAGCTCAGGGGAAGCAGCAGTTCTCTCCATGGAACCCTGCACAGAAGAAGTTTGATGGATGGTAGTCTGGTGTTCTTAAAACAGGTTGCTAGGGGACACTTGGTAAAAAAAAAACAAAACAAAGTTGGCATTTAGTGACCTTTAAGCTTTTCCAGATGATAGAAACAAATGATGGATAGTAAAAATTTATAAGGAATAAGATAACCCACTGTCCAAAAAGCCACACTGAGAATTGTAAGACCTAGGCAAAATCAGTGTTTCCATTGAGAAAAGACAAAGCTGATCAGAACTTTCCTGAAGTTTCCTGCTTTCTTTCTATATCATACACATCAACAAATATAGTGAATGATCCACAATCTTCATTATTTAATTGCATTTTATTAGAAAATGGAAATGAATTATTCAGTATTAAGTTTCTTTAGCTAGAAGAAAAAGAGAAACTGCGTAGTATTCTTCCTGCTTTGTCCATAGTGAACTGATGTAGTCAGTGACTGTGCCCCTTGAGAAACAAAGTTTGCTGCCTCTTATTAGCAAGTGTTAGTTATAGCAGATGTTAAGCAAGCAGCTTAGTCCTGCTTCATGCTTCAATACTGTTGTGATGCAATTTGCCACCATATCATGGTTTACATATCAAACTAAAGGAAAATCAACATAACAGTGCAGTCAAAGAGCCCCTGTACTATTAGTCTGGTTATACAAATAGGATAAAGACCAAGTGTTTCTTTGGTTTATGTTGGCTATCTTTTCTTTACTTACTTATACTTTGCTTATGATAAGAGATTACTTTGCTTACAGATTTGTCATGGAATATTTCTGTGTCTTCTGGAAGTAATCTTTGTGCTTTGCAAGGTCAAAATCAAACTGATATAGTTAGATCTAAAATTAATTTGATTAATATGATGAAAAGAATATGCAATATAAAAAAGCACAGTGCATCTTCAAGATAAGATCTGATACTAACTGATACTGTTCAGAGGTAACAGGTTCTCAATTGTACTGATATCAGCAGGAGCTACAGATAATCTTTGGCTCCTTGCACAAATGGGCTGTTACTGTGAAGGATACTCCTCAGCTATCTTGCCTCGGATTTGGAATTAAAGAATAGTTGACAAAACTACTCCTTTGAGAATGAAAATTCATCAGAAAACAGTTCTGCTGAAGTCTCCAAAGTTGTTTGCCTTTTACATTTTAATTACAACATTGTCTCAACATTTTCACAAACATTTGAAAGATAAGCCTATCAAAGAGCTGCTCATTAGTGTGGTGCACATATCTGCCTTCAGTGTTGTGCTGCTGGTAACCAGTTGTTCCATGCCATGGTTCAGAAACTTTACAGTCATAAGTTTCATTGAGGTTCATATTACCACTGAAAGGTCTGGTTGCTTATAGCATGCTCCAAGTATCTCTCTTAAACTGTTGACTAGTTCTAGAGAGACCATCAGTGGATATACACGTTGAATAAGAAGCTCTTTCCTAGCCATTTGCTTCTCTACATGTAACCATACTGCAAGTATTCTGCATATGTAGAAAAAGCTTTGAAATACACTTAAAAGTCTAATTGCATTATTCCAAAAACAGCTGCAGGCAATACGATGTAAGATCACAAGAAATGTGTTTTTTATGGCATTTGTACAACTATCACACAAAAAATATGGTTTTAGCATATTTACATTTCTGCACAGTCTAATGTAATTATTAAATTCCCAGCTATGTCTATAGGCAGTTATTTTACAAGGATAGTGATTTTAGTTCGACTGTGCAGTTATTTTGATTGCACTAGATTTCATTCCTCTAGAGTTCATTCCTCTAAACACAGAGAGAATGCTATCTTCACGTGCCATTCGGTAAAACCTTACGGAATGCCTTCCTTGGTTAACCACCAAATGGGAAGAACTGCATTATCAATGTAAAGAGAAGGCTTAGCCCAACATACTTAGCTATTACTTGAATTTTACTGAAACAGTAACCAATTTGGCCTATTTAGATGGTTTATAGCAGCAGGCATGTCATGTTATTGGGAAACCAGTCAATGGGTCTTAATTAATTCCTTCAACACTTTCCAGTCCTACCACCCCAAGTGAGATTTGAATGTCAGCAGCCCTACAACTACAGACCATAAATCACAGATGCCATTAAAATACGTGCTTGTTTGTTTTGTTTGTTTTAAATTAGCTTGAACTTCCTGGATAGGGTTTCAGCCTGACAACTTTTTTATTCATGTGAAAATACTTCCTGAAAAATTAAGTTTCCTCCAGGTAAGAAAGAAGACATTAACAAGCCTAAATTATTTGCTGGTGTTAGACCTGGACTTGGATCTGTCTCCATGATTTGAAGCAAAACTGCAGACTGAAAAAATAAAATTCAAAGTAGGACAGTTTTAATTAAATCACAATATCACGTAGAATATTCCCAGCCCAGTTTTGAATCTAAACATAATAATTCTGAGTATTTGTGTATCTATTTAATTATTTTTTACTTGAGTGTCTACCTGGGAGGACTGAAAATCAAAGCAAACTTGTTAGTTGCTAAAATGACCTCTTACAGTTTAACAATAAAATCAGCCTTCTGCTGTGGAACATGCACACACTTCTGTGGCGATACTGCTGTGTGTACATCTAACTTGACAAAATAGCTTTTCCTGAGTCTTGATTAAAATGGTTCAAATGACATTAATGAATTCTCAGTTCTCAAATTGTGACAAAAAAATACAATCCTTTAAGTTCTGTCCTCCATTCAATCTATGTCTTATATTACCACTATGTTACAACTTTATAACATCTAGAACACATATCCAGACTCTGATATCAACAAAAGAGCTGAAGCTGAAAAAAAGAGTTCCAAACTTTGGAATTTCTGCGTGTGTTCCATGCATAACAGTTATTAGAAAATGCAGATACAGATCTGTGTTGATCAGGACTAATATTGAAAATGAATGCAGAGAAAAAGCTGTGCCCCTGACATACATTAAATCTACATTAAATCTTTGATAAAATAATAAAAAAAGCCTTTTATTGCAGCTTTTGTTTTTAATTCATTATTCCTTGTAACTGCTAATTGTATGAATCTTACAAATAGAGCATTGAAATGTTCCTTTTTTGTAAATGAATTTCTGTCCAGCCTGCAAACTGGAATGTCATCTCAAGAAAATGCACAGAAGTGTGGGGGAAGACCAAGGACTGCAAATGAAAACAGAGTTTAATAAATGACAGCTGTTTACTTGACCGGAATAGAGAAGATAGCAGATTTATTTTGTCAATTCAGGCTGGACGAAGATTTACTACAAAAAGGTAAAAATCTTTGTTCTGCTACAGATCATGAAATCAACTGCAAATACTTGTAAAAGCTGTTTTTGTGAAGGCTTTTGATTATTAATAGTTATACTGACTCATAACAGCAACGCTGCAGTGCTTACTAAGGTAATCTCACTTCTGGTACAATAACTTTCACCAATGATGTGCTTTTTCCTTAAAGGAAGGCGGAGTTACGAGTTAGTGTCTGGGCCATAAATAAGAGGTTCCTATGTCAGGGAAATTAGAAGTCAGTTAACATAAGCGTGTACTCAGAGTGAGCATTAGAGGGCTTTTCTAAACCACCCAAGTCTGCTGAAATTGAAGACGCAGAAGAAATCAGATAGTCTGTAGGAAGTTTAGATATAAAATCAACAGTAAGAAAGCATTTTCTCTTGGCAGACCGATTAGCTGTGCTTAAGGCAGCATGAATCCTGTACTTAGTACCTTGTTGTTTTCAGTGCTTCTGCTGCTGACCCACAGAATTCAGGAGCTGGTGGAGGCGTGCAGCTGTGCCCCTGCTCATCCGCAGCAGCTCATCTGCGATTCTGCTTTAGGTGAGTCATGAACAACGACGTGCTTTGAACTGCTGGTAGGAAACGGAGTGGAACTAACCTAACTGCTGCATTCTTTTCTGTACAGCTGTAGAGAAATGCTTTTAACCATGTGGCTGCGACTCTTAGAGGATTTTAGAACAAATGACTGCAGACAACCCTTTTAAACACACAGCTATGGGAAGAAAAATGTGGCAGTAGCTGATCTGTTTTTCTTGATTTTTTTCCTTCTTTTCCAGAACATTTTGTGGTTACAGACTGTTGAAATTACAGTATTATTTAGTGGGCTTTTTTTTTTCCTTCATAAAAACAACATGTATGTTAGCTCCTAACTTACAGTAAGCAGCAAAGAATAAGCGGACTTCTAAATGTTTACTGTTCACAGTATCTATAATAGACTATTCCATCTAAATACATGCCCACTATAACTGTGCTTATCAACAGTTGTTACAGCACTCTGGGAAAGCAAAATGAAAAAAAGTCCCTAATGGCAACGTGGAAATATTCGGTCTTTGTTCTGCTGCACTACAATATCTTACTCTGCTGCTGTTATTTTCCAAAAATACTTGAGCAGGAAACTGATATGTCCTTTATTTTTTTTAATCTGACTACAGGCTTTCCACACAAATAGGATTTTCCAGTCTTTAGGATTTCATAATATTCAACCCAAGCTGTGGCTGTCAAAATACTTCTAGAAAGAAACTAAAGATCTCAAAATTATACTGCATGGGGACAGGAAAATGTGTCATTTTGCAGTCTTTTGATTTCATTAGCTCAAGCTGAGGCTGGTTAGCTTCCATCTAGTGTGAACAGTAAATGTAGAACATGAGTTTCCAAAGTGTCACAAAATTAGCATCTCTATGGGGCAGGCAATACCTTCTGCATACTGATTAATTGCTTTTATACTCTGACAGAAAATCTTTGTAGCCATGACAAACTTCAAGCTCTATTTGTGGCCATCAGTTAAATTGTTTTTTAATCTGGTTGTGTTAAGCAATCGTTTTCATTGAGTTACCTACACCAGGCATTGCAAACTTGGGGTTCAGGTGTGAAAGAAAACAAAGTTGCACTTCCAGAAGCTTAACTATACAGTTAATGATATTAATCTGCTGCATTCCTAGACATAACAAAGTAAGTTTTTTAACTTCCTTTAGGAGAGTTTTCTAAATAAATAATTTCACAGTATAGAGGAAACTCAAAATACTTGCTACAAGTTGTATACTTCAGGGAATTCATTTCAACCATCCTAATTAAGACAAGGTCCCTTATATATGTGTGTGTGTGTGTGTTTATGTATATATGCATATATATATATATATTAGAAATGGTAGAAATGGTAGATACATACTTTTAATTATGCTTAAATGAAAGATTGTACTTTATATTTGGATCTGGGTCTCAAGCTCTCACTTACATAAATGATCTTCTTAAAGTAAATTGTACTTTTCACCTAAGGCATATTTATATCATGGATCTCTTCATCATCCATATTTTAAAATAGCATTTCTATATATTAAAAAATAGTTGACAGATGTACATATATCAAACAAATGATTGTAAATATATTTTTGGATATGCACATATATGAATTTGCATATATGTAACACTTGAAACCTGATCTAAGCATTTATGGATGAATTCCTTGATTTGTTTTGGACACAGTACATCTTGTAAGCAGATCAAAATGACTTCAAAGGATCTGGAGAAGACCTGTGGAGCAGTCTGCCCTGCATAAGAGAAACCTCCACTAACCACTTTGGCAAAGGCAGCTTCTCCAGCCTCTGTGCCAGGGCTGGGGCTGTCCTGGGGAACTGGGCAGCACAAGACTGAGTTTTCCCACACAGCACCACCCCAGTGGGAAGCAGGGCAGCGCCTGTGCAGCTGTTCTTCCTTTTGGAAGCAAAGCAGGTTTGAAGCCACACCTGCGTCCTTTGCACCGCTCAGTTCTTAAATGGGAACGGCCATGCCATTAAGCATCCCGTGCAGTAGTACACATCAAATCTCTCCTGCTAGTAGTATTAAGAATTTTATACCTATGCCTTTTCAAGAATTAAGAAGATTAAAACACGTACATCAAGATTTTTACTTCAATTGCAACATATCTGTACTTCTAAAATATCAGTAAACTAAGAGATTGGCTCTTCACCCACCAAAATCATTAGTAGCTGAACATCAATCCAGCTTCTTACTGAGAACTATTCAGTCTTTCTCACTTATTTAGTTCATTCATCTGTGTACCCATAGACACATTCAAGTATTTCCTTGCAGAATAAAAACCTATCACATACTATAACCAAGAAACCATGCCTCTAAGTTTCACATTAAGTAAAACCTGAGAAAGTCTCAGTTTTGCTCCTAGGATCACTGAGCATGGTAAGTAATTCAGTTACTGCATTATTTATCAGTTTCACTGTAAGTCTGTAGCTTTTTAAGTCTGCTTAGGATCTCTTGTGATTAAGGTGGAGGGGATGGAATCTGTAGGTTTTACTTGAGTACCTAAATTGAAGGCACTCAGAAGTGTTAGCATCTATATGAGATACCCAAGAAAAAAAAATAGGCAAAGAATCATTTCTGGGACAAGCTCTTATCAATTTCCTTTTGTTCAAATGATTAGTACTGTGCCATTTTGTCTTCTTCTGTCAGGGGGATTTTGTGGCTTTGCACTCTGTATAAATACTCAATATCTACCACAGAGCCTAAGTAACTTGACAGAAATAACAGGATTTCTGACAGACACAGAAAAAGAGAGTGCTTCTGGTTCTGGTATCGTGCTGGATAAAATAGAAATTGGAGATCAGTGAAGAGTACTGCAACTGTTATGTAGGTGTCCTCAATAGGAAGAACAGCAATTATAGGGTTGAAGATCCTGACAGAAAATAGTGAGTGTTATGCTGGTCCTGCCACTTGTGTGTTAGCTCATTCTCCTGCTTAGCCATAAGGGAGTGTGATTTTGTACAAATCTGAGAAGTTCTCCTGAACTTCTCCATAGTCTTACATTTCAGTCAAAGAGAGGTAAATGTCTATCAATTGGACGTGCCTAGTGCCATGGAGACAGACATCTTCCGTTAGAAAAAGAAATACATTCCTGTTGTGTTCAGTAGTTCTAAGATCCTCCTAGAATTTGTTGAATGTCTTCAAACCTCAAAGAACATCTGCGATTCTGCAGATTACTTTAGCTTGAAATGGAGATGGAAGGTGTATCAAATAGTAATTCCATGTACTTCACAACTAATTGTAGATGCTAAGTACACACCCCACCAAAAATCAAGAAGCTTTTTCCTTATGGAAATGAAACACAACAAGAATGCGCAGTTTAACTTTTCATATTCAATAGCAAGGCACCATAGTTTCAAGCTGATATAAGAAATGTCCACTGAGATTTTGGAGAAAGCCAGGAATGAAACTGAGTTGATCAAATGCTATCAAGATTTCCCTTTTGTCACTGCCTTCAGTAATTCATGAGCGCGTTTCTAAGCCAATGTTCACATCAAATTACACAACCAGGAGAGAAATTATATACATAGAGAGGACTAATTCCTTTCTCAAGTCTGTTGTTTCTAATTCAAACTGTGTTCTCCCCTGTAGCAAAAGAAAGATTTTATGGGAGTAATAGAAAAATAAGTAAATACTTTACACTCCTAAGATAGGTCACACCAGTGCCCTATCCTTACAGTTGATGCCTGCATTCTGATTTCAACTCTGATTTCGTTCTCTAAAGACTTATTGAAAATGATATTTTTAACTGAATATTGGTGCCACACTGCAATAGAAATTGAAAAACTAAGAGGTCTTAACTGCAAATTCAATACAATGCTCTGAAAGTAATGCTTCCTATTTATTTCCATGGAAGCTACAACAGGTACACACAATAACACTGTTTGATAGAGATAATTGATAGAGCTATAAAATAATATTTTTCAACACAGTCACCACCATTCACTCTGTATTTTTTGCCAGTGATTAACAGAAGTCTGCATGCTATGCTCATAACAAGTTGCACTGGTGGAGGTGCCCCACTGATCCTGTTGCCACTGCTGAAACACACCACCCACAGCCTCTCTGTGCTCACATCTGCTGTTTGGGCTCCATAAACTTTCAGAAAGCATTAATGAAAGTCAACAAGTTCCATTTTTTTCCACATAGAGGAATTCAGTTACACCCCATTGCTATATACGTACTTCATGTCAGACACCATTCTGTCAGATTGCTGTTCTGCTGCCATATGCAGCACAGCAATCAAATGTAATGGAATATTAGTGGGAAGGTTGAACCTCTACTGCCATACCAACAACATCTCCCTCTGACATTGTGGGCCAGAGTAAGATAAGGAGGCATTAATTTCAGAACAGCCCTCATAAATATATAATATAGCTTCAGAGAAGAATTTTTCAGCTTTAAAGACAAGTGGCACATGTCAAAACATGATGGAAGCTTTACAGCTGAAGCTTGGCAGCCTTTTAAGCCTCCCAAAATCTCAGAACACTGTGAGCAAAATGTGCCAGATCATATATTAAATTTTAATCGCATTTAAAAATAAAAGTTAAAAAAATCTAAATACACCAGAATTAATTTTTCAAAATCAGTTCATCTGGGGGTAAAACTGCAATACGTGATTTCTATATTATTGAACTTCACATTAAAAATTGATGGTTCAGTGCCACACTATTTTGCCTCACTGCAATATTGTATTTTGTTTCGCACTGCAGTGTTTTGATTTGTGCAATGTTAGAGTGAAAAGAAGTTTTGCCTCGTTGGGAGAATCAGCTTTGGAAAAGCTATTAGAAATGCAGACAGTACTTCTTCCAAGTTAAGGGGAAAAATTCTAACAGAGAAACGAGACTTTTGTTCTCACTATGTTGTTTGCTCCCAGTATATGCTTAGTCTCATAGAGTTTACTTGCTGCAAACAGTGTAACACAAAATTAAGCAATTATGTAATCAATCTTTGTGTTAAGCACCGTAACATTCACACAAATGTTAATACCTACATCACATAACACAAGA